GGGGGGGGGGGGGGGCGGGGCTTCGCGTCTGGCAGGGCTCCCGGTGAATGAGCCACCAGCTCTGCTCCGGCCTCCGGACGAGCTGTGGCCTGTGCTGGGCGTCAGCTCCCGGACCGCTGTTCCGCCCTGACCCCCAGGAAACCCAGAGTCAGGTGAGGGCTGGACCCTGGGTCCCGTCCAGGCAGCTGGAGGGACGGGGAGCGTTGGGGGCACAAGCAGCACGGCAGGGCCTGGAAAAGGAGTGGAGTGTGGAGGCCACTGAATTTATGCCTGTGCTCTGCTCCAGCCCAAACGCTGTCCACTCTCGTAGGAGGACTCAGGAAACAGTCTGTTTCACATACAAAGCAGAGTAGAAAGGGCCTTGGTTTTCTACTGGTCTGAGAGGCCAGTGTCTCCAGGCCAAAGAAGGGCCTCGGAGAGAAAGCCCAACAAGTTACATCACTGATTTGTTTGACAAATATTTGTTAAGAAGCCGCCGTGTGTCCGGCCCCCAGGAGTCCGTGATGGGTCTGTTTTCTGAAAGGCGGGGTGATCTGCACTCAGCTGCCTTTGCTTTCCTGGTGAGGGGGGGGTCTGCTCCGTCCGGCACCGTCCTGGGCAGCGGTACGCGGGCGGGCACATCCTCTGGTGCTCTCGAGGTTACAGCGACACGGAAGGGTTTCCTTTTGTAAAGGGCATCACCTCCCTGCCGTCACGCTGTCTTCCCAGTAGCAACTGTTGTGACTTTCGGTCAAGCTCCTGAACTTGGTATGGGAACGTCATCAGCTTGCCCAGCGCACACGCTCTGTTTATTAAAGTGTAATTGGGAGTGTGGCAGTTAATCGGCTGTAGGATACCGCCCAGAGGCCAGCATGACGGCACCCTTCCATTCTCCCTTTCCCACGTGGGCGACAAGCCGGGGCCAGTCCCATTCAGGCAGGACGCCCAGGACTGACCATCTGGCCCCTGGTGCCGGGCTCTGGGAGGAGGCCCACGTCTGCAGGCGTCACGCTGACGCAGCATCTTCACTGGCCTCGCTCTGACTCATCCTCCTGGATTCTTACATACACACGCCAAGCCTGAAGGCTGCCCCATACCCAGGGAATAAAATGCCAGGGAATTGTGCATTTAAGAAAAAGCAAGCAAATGCAAGTAATTCACCCTGGTTCAACCCTCTGCTTAACCTGGCGTGGGAAGTGAGCCTGGAGCTTATTTCATGCGGGACGTTGCAAAGCGCCCCAGGCGGACAGCAGCCCCTCGGTGTCTTTCTTTACCCGGTAAATGTCCTTCCTTTACCAAGGAGCCCAGCAAGGAGGACTCTTGCAGGAGACCGGAAGTTGAGGTCAGACTTGTGTCTTTCGGGGGTGGCCACCCTCGCCTCCAGCAGTCGGCGGACCTCGTTAATCATCATTAGATTTTGCTGAAAAGAGCTAAACAAGCTAAACTAAAGGAAATGCAGTATCCTTTTCCTCTGAGGCAAAACCTGCAAAGATTATTTTGGGGATAGAAAATGTTCTCGGGGCCAGCTTGCCAGGATGACAAGCTAGAAAACATGTTCACTTGACCCTAGGTGATACATTTATAGTTGCAGAGGAAGGAGATGAGGTCCGGGGGCGCGG